TCTTAATTGGAGGTGAATACTAATGGTTTCTACCCATGCTAAACCATCTATTTTCCGTATTAAACAGTTCATTTAATCCTAATCAATTGTGAATAATATACCAACATTTCTTCAATGTAGTACTAATGTTTTTTTCCTAAATAATTCATATTTCTTTCTATTATATATATTTATGCATAATTTACATATACGAAGGTTCATACTTTGAAATAAGAAAAGAAAAAAATTCACAAGAAAGGAAAACATAAGAGAGAAGCAGATTTCTTAAAGTTTCACGTGCCATCGGGAAACAACATCCACTATCCAACCTTATACATTCAAAAACTTTCAAGGTAAGTAGAGGTGCAAGTAATTATTTTGTTTTCAAGTTATGAATTTTCATTAAAAGTAGGAATGAATTGATATCTCCGGGTATGGTGTTTTGGCACAACTATAATTTAAATGATTATTCTCCGACTCTATGTGTTATGATAATTTTATAAAAATTCACCTATGTGCGACAGTATGAATTTATAATTTAAATTTTCTAATTTGATAACGAAATACGTTAATGGTATTTATTGAGTTTCAAACTCATGGGTTAATTCCCTTCCTAAAGTTGATTTGATTTGCTTGGGACGTGAATGATGGTAGAGGAAGATGCAACATATTATGGAAAAGCCGGTGACTTAATGTTTTATTCGATTATGAAATGTTGAATTTTTTTATATATAGATTTCTATGAACATCATATGTGAAACTATTTTAAGAACATTTTTATGAATTATCTATGTTTAAAATAGTTATATGTTATAGAAATTAACTTACAAGTCACCGTCTATTACAAAATAATAATAATAATAATAATAATAATAATAATAATAATAATAATAAATGTTAGCAGTTTAGTATTGCCTTTTTTTTTTTTTAATTCCAGATCCTGCCCTTGGCTTCAAAAATTCGCAACTTAAACGAACTTATTTTGGCCCTTGCCGTACGAGATATTAAAAAAAAAAGCTTTTGTTTTAGTTATTGTTTATGGATTTTAAAAAATATTTTAATACATCATATGTTGTTGACAGAACTCGATTTTTGAATATGTTATATTATAAGAAGTTTCCTACTTTTCCTTAAATTTTTGTGAAGTTTTGAGATTGATAATTATGTAAAGGAGTTTATTTTGACATATATCGCGTGAAAATGAAAAAGCAAAATAGATTATTCTTTTTTAATTGCCAAAAGTGGTTCATACATGGAAAACTTTCAAATCTTTTATATATTTGGTAAATGTGTACTTGCTACTGTTCACGAAATAAAATAGTCATATGCATGGATTGCTCAACACTTTATTTCTTTTATAAATTCTTATAGAATTATGTAATATAATGTTATTGTACAAAAGTAGATTTTTCATTAGAAATTCATTGGTATTTTGTTTTTATAATAAACTGTATGTTACAGATAAAAGACAATTTTTAATTTTTAATTTTTACATTTTTTGTTAAAAGCATGGTTAATTAAATTATTATTTTAAAAATTTTTAAGTCTAAAATAAATGTACAATTGTTTGAGTGACATTTCCGTCCATATGGGTCGGGGTGTTACAAATTTACTATCTGAACCAAAAAAATGCATAATTTTTCTACTGCAACCTTTAAAGCCAATATCATATCGCGATGGTAATAGTTCAGACAGTGGATGAAGGGATGGTAGTGAGCCAAAAAATAGATAATTTTTCCAACACGGTCATTGAAGCCTTCCTGGTGTTGTTGATTTTGGGTGAGATGCTAATAGGGTGATGCTATTCGTACATCATTGTGTAGATATTGATGTACAAATAACATTACACGAAAGAGAGAGTTCATATCATAGTTTTACTAGTTACATCACAATTTAATTACGTTCGACGTTCTCGAGATTTGTTCATTTTAAATAACATTTATATCCTTAATTTTATCATCAAATTTTAATCTTTAATTTTCCATTATTTAACACATTTCGTCTTTGCTAACGAAAAGTCTGCTGAAAAGCATAAAAATGCTTATTTTGTTTCACTTTCACAAAGACGTCCACTAAAGATGGCGGTCAACTAAAGATGTTTTGGTTCACTTTCCAAAGATGTCCACTATCGAGGCTACAAATGGAGGCCAAAAATTCTTAGTCCAAAACAATTAGAATTAGTTTGAGCCACGTTAAAAAAAATATTCGATTTGACATTATTTCAACCACACATTTTTCAATAAAATAATATTACACATAAATTAAAATTTTTTTTTCATTTTTTAACCACACATTCTATATTAATTTACTATTCAAAAATACATTATTTCAAAATAATGTGCCTCAAGCACATACTGGATAACAAGAAAGCCCAACAAGTATTTGCTTCAAGTTAGATTGACGTTGACTTGGACATGACCCCAAATGTAATAATAAAGTACAACAAAAGTGCAAAATGATGCCAATGGGGAAAGTTCCAAGGGCATCTCTAATACCATCACCAAAACCTCAAATGGACTTTACTATTTGTACATTCGAAATTGACACCTCGAATGACATTCCCTCACAAGAGAGGGGCATCCACATATAAAATTATATGTGGATCCCTTTCTCTTGTGAGGGAGTGTCAATTCCGGATGTACAAATAGTTTTATTGAACCTCAAATTTCATCAAAATTTGGTGCGAAAGCTCTTCAATGTGACACCAAAGTTTGCACTATTTTGATGCAAAATGATGGAAAGTCAATTTTGCCTTTTTTTTTCATTTGTCAAAGTAATTGATGAATGATATTTGTGTCATTTGTGTTATATATTTTTCAATACAATAATTTTATTATTTTTATTAGTATTATTATTATTGTTGTTATTATTACTACTACTACTATTTGCATTTAAAATAATTTTTAAATGTAAAAAATAATAATTAATGAATTAATTAAAATAAGAATAAAAAAATAACAAACACGATTATTTAAATTTAACACAAAATATATACAACCACCACCTACACATATTAAAGATGTTGAACATGCATTTGGCGTTGTACAATCGAAGTTCGCAATGATGAAAGGATCGGCAAGATTTTGAGAAAAACAAGTATTACATGACATGATGATTACATCTATAATCATGCATAACATAATTATCGAGGACGAACTTAATGTTAATGCACCGGTTCAAGAATGAACGGAAGCGTCAAGCCTGAAAGTTGAGTTGGTTGAAGATGAAAATAATCATTTTAAGGAATTCCTTACTCGTCATAGACAGATCAAGGATAATGATGCTCACATTACGCTTTCGAAATGTATTAATCGATCATTAGTTGGAAGAACATACGAATTCCGAGAAATAAATTGCAATGATATTTTAACTTCTTAATATCATAATATTCAAATTTAAAATGCATTGCACTATTTTTTAATGGCATAATTTAATATTTTCATTTTTGTAGTGTTTTTACTAAGCCCCTGTTTGTCATCCATTTTTTCCAATTCTTTTTTCTACAATACTCATTTTTAACTACACAATTTTCATTAAAATAATATTACACGCAAATTAAAAAAAAATTCTTCTTTTTTAACCACGCATTTTCCATCAATCACTATTATATAATACATTTTTTTTTATAAATTAATGGGGCACAACCGGAGCCTAATTGTACTATATTTTTTATATTTATTAATGGATTTAATCTTTTCTTTAATTTAAGGTAATTATTTATTTAGTAATTTATGTATTTGTAAAATAAATAAATACATAATTTTTCAAATAAATAAATTATTAAGAAGAAAATGAATAAATACTATTTATATGGTGTAATGGTTGGAGATAATTTTTAGTTTGATATAAGATCTGGTGCAAATCTTGTTGCAGGGTTGAAAATGGCTTAATGAACACATTAAAAAAAAAAAAGAACATTACACATATCAAGAAAATAATATGTCTAATATCGAGTACCAAATATATATTGATAGTGTTCATTTATGTTTATTTTAATCCATTTCACAACAATTAAACAACACACATTAGACATCAAATGCACAAATAACAAATTGTGCCAAACATTCGAAACAATGAGCGAGACTTGGAAAAATTCAAACACAACATACTTGACGTCAAATGCTCACTTAACACCTTGTGCCAAACGTCCAAAACATTAAGCCTCGGAGAGAAAAATAGGAGAAGAAAAACAAGATTATTAAAGTGTAAGTAGAGGTGGGATGTGGAGTGAGCCAAGCCACACCACTCATGTTTTTGGCTCAAATTCAAAAAATAAAATTGCGAGACAATCCGGTTTGATTTGTCAAACTCGCGAGACGAGTCAAATCGAACCACACTTTGATAAATTATGTTGCTTTTGATAAAACATGTTGCTTGCATCATGTACTGTCGAAACAACAATAGATGAACCAACATTTACATTAGCTCATTTAAGATACCAAGCATCCAAGCTTGTAACCCCATCTAGTCCCGTGACATTCCCACCCAATCCAAAAAGAAAAAGAAAACAACTTAAGCAAACACATCATTTCAATGTTTAGACGGTCTAATCCAGATGCTATATGTCTACGTCCAACAACATTATTCTTGGAACTATCCAAAAGGTTGAACTCCAATTTTGAGAGCCCCCACGGCCCCGCCCCTAGAACATCGTGAGGGAGGTAAATCGCAGGATATGTCCCAACATATCAGGGAATAAGAGTTTGCCTGTACATTGATCCCCACAAAGAGTCCAATTCCATATTTCAGGAATTGAACCCTCACACTGCAACTGCCAGTAAGATTAAGACTACATCACTCCTATTCTTTGCACCACTGACTTATGTCCGGGAGCATTCTTGGAACTATCTAACACTCTCATGTATGAAGGCCTACTCACTGCTTTCTTTCTAAAAGTCCACTTCCTTTATCACACCAATTCCCCCATGCACTCAACAAATCGTCTACAACACGTATTTTTTACAATAAAAACCGCAGGAAGAACATACACGACTTTAGTGTTGATGCACGGAAAGTTCGTACCCCCTACGTGCCATCTTCTTTATTACGCCCCACGTGCCATCTACCATTTGTACGCCGAAAATCCCTCCTCCAATTTCCCCTTTCAACACAGATAACTACGTACAAAAATCTGTATCTATCTGTCTATATTTTGATTTTCACACACGCCAACATATAGATCCCTGTATCCATACGGCACTGTAATAATTGAAATCCAAATTCCAACCCACTCTCTATTGAGAATCCCTGATATAGAAAAGGGTCATTCTTCGTAACCCTTCCAAATTCCACATATTCATATATCATATATGTGTATATAGGGAGAGGTTCTAACTATTTATATATAGATGGGGGCTGTCACGTCGTCGATGGCTGCGAAGTTTGCTTTCTTTCCGCCGAATCCACCGTCGTACGGGGTGGCGGCGGAGGAGGGGACGGGCAAACTGAGGATGACTGAGGCGACGGAGAAGGATAACGTGGATGTTTTGAAAGTGATGACCAAGAGGGGGAACGAGATCGTTGCGATGTATGTGAAGAACCCAGTAGCGAAGCTGACGCTTCTATACTCCCACGGCAACGCCGCTGATCTGGGTCAGATGTATGATCTTTTCAGTGAGCTCAGCATTCACCTCAGAGTCAACATGATGGGGTACTGAAATTCCTACACATTTGGAAAATTTTGATCAATAATTTGTTTGTTTGTATTGGTTCAGTGTATTAGGATCAACAAAGTTTCGGAAAGTTGTTTGTATAATGACTGTGCTATAGATGGTGAGGTGAATAGTTGGGTGGCTAATTAAAAGGTTTTTTTAGGCTATTCATCTTTTTATTGAGGAATCTGTTGTAAGTATAGCTGTTGATTGAGAGTTAAGAATTTGTTTCTTGAAGTGGAAAGAGTGTTTATAGTTATTTAATTGATGAAAGCAACTGATCAATAATCTCTCCCACCTGTTATAGAATCTTTATAGATAGATTGATTGTGGAAATTTAATTTCCTTGTGAGATGTTATAAGATTCTATTTCTGCTAGCATTTTATTATTGTCCTTTGCTTATTGCAAATTGTTGTTTTGACACCAAACCAATCACAGCATGAGGGAAAAGTGAGGCAATTGAAATCTGCATTCTCATTGCCAATTTCCTAATTTCCTATCATTTTGGCAGGTATGACTACTCAGGATATGGACAGTCGACTGGCAAGGTATGAGAAATGGACTTGGTGAATGTGTTGAAGGAATTTTAGGGCAAAAATGCTAAATTTTATATTTATTATTCTTTTGATAGCCAAGTGAGCAGAACACTTATGCGGACATAGAAGCTGTGTATAAATGTCTTCAAGATACTTATGGGGTGAAAGAAGAAGATATAATCTTATATGGCCAATCTGTTGGGAGTGGGCCCACTTTGGATTTGGCATCCCGTTTGTCAAGATTAAGGGCTGTTGTTCTTCACAGTCCAATCATGTCTGGTCTTCGAGTAATGTATCCAGTTAAGCGGACTTACTGGTTTGACATTTATAAGGTAATTAATGCAATTAGCACAAGATTGATCTTTTAACTTTCATTTATGATTTCTGGGCTTCATTTTCATTTGACCAAGTTTTATTTTCCCTCGTGATGCAGAATATTGAAAAAATCCCGTTGGTTCAATGTCCTGTCTTAATTATTCATGTGAGTTTTATCTCATTACTTTCTGGAATAAATGACAGTGTTGGAGATTTTTTCTTGATTGTATTGCTCAAATACAAATTTCCATATGTATTCTCATCAGTAATAGTGCTTAATATTTATTCATCCTGTGGCTAGTCATGATCACCGGAAGATGCTGAATCTAATTTAGTTGAAAAGTATCTTTTTCTGTTGGAACACCAACATTGCCGAAGCCATTGTTGGGGTGGGATGAGCACTGAAAGGGTGTTGATGAGAATGTGATAACTAAAAATAAAGCGTTGGCCGTTACTTCTCATAACAGGTCTTGTGGATTTCAATGTTTTCGGAGGGGTATGAATGTATGGAAACTTAATAATTCTTTTTTTCATCTTCTATTGTTTCTATTATTAGAGTGGCAACCATTGGCAAAGAAGTCACAGGCAATTGAGGACAATTAGTTCCCTATTCTTGTTGTAGTACCAAAAGATTTTCACCCCAGTCCCATATCTTGCTCAAGTTTTTAATCTAATTCATTTATTTTTTCACTTTTTTGGCATCCAAGCTGCCATGATAGAGTCGGGTTTGAAGAGAACCTTTAGTTTATATTTTCTTACTGCACGGATCAGAACATTTTTAACACTTTTGTTGTTTCAATCGCCTTAATCCTTACACCACAAGATTAATTTGTTATGCATTGGGATGCTTATTGGTATTAGGCATTTGATGCATTAGTCATGTAAAATAAAGTCAACAGTATCATGTCTTCCCTTATTGGTAAATCAAGAACTAGGTAGGCAGGAGGAAAGCAGTTTAACCATCCTAAAGGACCCTTTTATACTGGCTAAATCAATTTATTGAGAAAATTAAGTTATAAAATGAATTAATTGTACGAAAATGTCAAAATCCTGGAATATAAATGCCTCTGGATAGAGACTCTATCAATCCGTAGTTTGAATGTGTTTTTGCAGAATTTGCAGGTATGATTTCTTCCCTTCTCCCTCATAACACACTTCTTTTCTCCCCTGTATTTACAGGGTACTGCAGATGATGTTGTAGATTGCTCCCACGGGAAGCAGCTCTGGGAGCTGTGCAAAGAGAAGTACGAGCCATTATGGGTTAAAGGTGGCAATCATTGTGACCTGGAAATTTACCCGGAATATATTAAGCATTTAAAGAAGTTCATAATAGCAATTGAAAAGGCAGCACATTTGAAAAGTGGATCTACACCATCGGCAAATCAAACGGATAACCCGCGAAACAGCATAGATTGCCGACCTAGAGCAAGCACAGATCAGACAGAGAAGTCTGGATCAAGCACTGATCAAAGAGAAAAACCTAGGGCAAGCACGGATCGAAGAGAGAAATCCAGAACCAGCATTGACAGGAGAGAAAAATTGAGAAAGAGTGTGGATTTATCTGAGAAAGCAAATAACAATGCTGAACAGCCAGATAAAGCAAGGAACAGTATAGATCGGTTGGGCTCAACTCAAATATTTAAGAATTTCTTCACTTACATGCTTTTTACTATATCCGTATTCCATCATGCACTGAGAAATATGCAAAAATTATTATTATTATTATTATTATTATTATTATTATTATTATTATTATTATTATTATTATACTGTTGTAATTGTATGGTGGCAGCTTTGGAGATATGATGAGATCGGCTGTTTTATGCAATATCGACTGTTTCAAGCCCGTGGGAGCAAAGGTCTGACGGTGGATCAGAGGTAGTACTAATGGTTAAATTTCTTATTCACACTCATTCGTAGCCCCATTTTAACTTAAGTACTTATATTATAATACTGCACTTGTTTCCTTCTGCTGATGATCTAACTCTCGACTCCTGTTTCCTGCCTGTACGTGTAGCCTTGCATTCATGCAAAATACATATTGATCAGTAATGGCTTGCTGTTTACAGTTTCATTGAAGGCATTTTTAAATCCAGAATTCATGGTTGCTAAGATCCCATCCAAGATATTCCTGCTGAAATGATTGTTAAAATTCGGTCCATCCATGGCATTGTCCGTAGCGCAGCTTGCCAGAATCTCACTCACTGCTCTCTCTTCACGACACAAACAATTGATTACTTTTTGCCGCAAAACATTACTTCAAACCTTTGATTCATCATACATTCTTTTGAGATTCTCAAATTTGTGAAGGAACCAGGTAGGTATACAGATTTGGGTTTCTAAGCTGATTATAGCCATCATCTTTGTCCCCAGAGAGGTTTGGTTCATTTCTTAAAGATAATAAAATTTTAGAGCAGTTTTTGTTTATGGAAAGATCAATGGTACTCTATTTCGATTCATCTGGCACAACCATTCATAAAGCAGTGATCTTTCAAGATATTTTTTGCTTGGATTTTGCTAAGTGCACATGATAAATGTACATAAAGGATGACATAATTTGATGTAGAGGGAAAAGATTGGTTGAAAAAGTTGATTGTGTTTTAAATAGACAAATGACAGAGTTTCACGTGGCATTATGGACACCCTTATGTATATCCTTATGTACCTCTGTATTACTACTGTGCTCGCTTTGTACTTAAACAGACAAATGATAGAGTTTCACGTGGCATTATAGACACCCTTATGTATATGCTTATGTACCTGTATTACTACTCTGCTTGCTTTGTACTAGAGTACAAAGTATTGCCGGCGTATGTACATAAAAACATGTATACACACATGTATATATGATGTTGAAGAACATCCTTGACCCTATTCTCTACAAGGCCTTTCCTCAGCTGTCAGGGTCGACAAGAAAATGGTTCAATAGGTTCGATAGATTCAACGCCTTTTGACATAACACCGTTACATGCTTCAATGTTCACGTGTCAAAATTCAAAACTCGATTTCTCTAGTGGGAAACTGATTAAGAAGACGGCAGCCTCCATTTGAAACCTACTTTTATATGTATGTCACGTACGAAAATACAATGGAAATGTTAATAAAAAGTGGCCTTAGCGTCATAACAAGAATAACATGGCTATATGCACAAAAAATTATGAAATTTAGCCAAAATTATTGTAATTTGAGTTGAAATCTTATTACCAATTAGAGTTAATCTTGAGCACTTATGACGGATATAGCCAAAAGTTGTTGAAATTGCATTAATAAATACATTTAATTTATTCATTTGTGAATTAAAATTACAAAATTTGACACCAAGACTCAATTTTCATCCTAGATTTCAATCATTTAATTCTTCGTTTTAGAAAAGAGCATTGAGTTTGTAGGGAGTTTTTAGAGCCTTGTAGGTAAGATTGAACCATTTTTTATTGTCATGGACTAGTATGATAACAATGAAAAAAATAGGATCAAATTGTTCATATGTAAAAATTTTATGATCATAGCGCTATATAAATAGTAATTTGGGACACAACAGTACGGAAACGAGGTTTTAGAAGGGTTTAAAGTCGCATTTGAAGACGTTTGTCAGTGCCAACTCAAAAAACCTCTCCCATTTACTAAAATCGATTAATTTTTGAACTCCATTCAATTTATATCTTGAAACAATTAATGTACAGCAGCAAACCTGAGCTTTCTTTGAGCATCAAAATTGATCAGACAAAATTTCCACTCGGTAAGCCTGCAGTTTTTGTTCTAAACCAACCGAACAATTCCTCAGTTATGTTTAGAGTAATTGTTAAACAAGCTACTTCAAAAACCGCAGCAAAGCTTTCTCTCAACCCCCGATCATTTTCTCGCACCTGCAGCTTCCTTGGATTCTCCCAAGATTCGACTTTCCCGGAGAAATTTAAGGTTAGGCCCCTTTTTTATTTTAATTCTAGCTCCAGTATTTGTAATCCTGAACTGGGTCTTCGCAAAATTGGCGAAGTTTTTACCCGGGACGAAGTCGTGGGCAGGCCTATTTTCAGCGCTGTGAGAAGCCAAGTAAACAGTTATGGATTGTGCCCAAAAGGTTATGCCTCTGTGGCAGAGGCTGTGGCGGTATCACCCACTGACGTGGAGGATGATTATTATGATGTTAACCTTTCCGTGGCTGATGAGGTTCAGGAATTGTTAACCGAGATGAAAAAGGTGGAGAGGAAACAGTATTGTATGCGCTGGAGGCAGCAGAGCGATCATGGAATGGGGAAACAGAAGTACCAAGCGCTTAGGAGGAGGCAGGCTAGGATCGAGACTGAAGCGTGGGAGCAAGCGGCTAAAGAGTATAAGGAGCTTTTAATGGATATGTGTGAGCAGAAATTGGCTCCAAATTTGCCTTACATGAAGTCTTTATTTTTGGGATGGTTTGAGCCGTTGCGTGATAAGATTGCTGCAGAGCAGGAGTTCATTCGGAAAGGGAAGAGTAAGGCGGCCTATGGCAAGTATTTTGATCACTTGCCAGCTGACATGATGGCTATTATTACAATGCATAAGCTAATGGGATTGTTGATGACCGGAGGTGAGCATGGGTGTGCAAGGGTAGTTCAGGCTGCTTGCATGATAGGTGATGCAATTGAGCAGGAGGTTGGTGAGCTTTAGATTTTTGCATATCCAACTGCCTTTATTTGAAAGGCAATATAGTTGGAAAATTTTATGCCTTAGTTATATTGCCTAGTTTTAGTTGCTCACTTGCTTGAACTCACTATTTACTACTTAATAAAAAAGGACATCAAATTATTATTGGTAAGTGGTAGCATTTTCGGTGATTCTCAACACTGAAGTAGATTAGATGAGACTAGGAATATTTGAGATGGTTAATAGTAACTCTTGAATCATGAAGACTTGAAAATTTTCACTGACTTGCTGGACATTTAGTATTCATGAAAGGTTTAAATTAAGGTAGTAGGTAGGAAATTAGTAGTGTTAAACCAGATAAAATTCAGCTTGCTATTTAGGAGATCATGATATCGATTAAAAGTGTTTGCCACATACCCGGAGTGTGTTTTGGTTTGGAACATTCCCAAAGTATTATTAAATGGATGCAAAAAAGCTTGATTTAATGAACAAGGGTGCAATTTGCCTATTTGTAAAATTAGAAAAGGTGTGGTGCCTTTTCTGGGGACAAGGGGGTAATATGCTTTTATCCATTTCAGAATCTTTTATGGTTGGTTGATTGTAATGGAAGCTTTTTTTATTATTTTCCTAACAATTTCTGTCATCGATCAGGTTAGAATACACAAATTCTTGAAGAAAACGGAGACAAACAAAGTTAGAGAGACAAAAAAGGAAGGAGGTGGATCTGATGGCAATGACCAAGAACAAGAAAAGTTGCGAAAGGCTGTTAATAATTTGATGAAAAAACAAAAGCTGCGAGCAGTGAGGCAACTAGTTAAAGGACAGGATGATTCAAAACCATGGGGCACTGATGCTAAAGCAAAGGTCTGACCTAACTCTTGTACTCATTGCATTAACTTTATATTCTTTTTACAAACTAAATGTGCGGTTATTTTTAACTCTCAGGTTGGCAGTCGACTCATTGAATTGCTGCTTCAAACAGCCTATATACAGCCTCCAGTCGATCAGTTAGCGGACAGTCCACCTGATATTCGACCTGCATTTATACACACTTGTATAACTGTACGGAAAGAAACAAAGTAATTTATTATTATTTTTCTGTCTTATAAGCAAGCTTTCTTTTTGTTGCTTTCAGATCTTCAACAGCGCTTACTAGCTTCTCTTTGTGCAGGAAATTTTTTTATTTTTTATTTCTTCTGTCTTTAAGCAAGCTTTCTTTTTGTTGCTTCAGGTCTTCAACAGTGCTTATTAGCTTCTCTTTGTGCAGGAACTTTAGCAGAAGATATGGTGTTATCCAATGCGATCCACTTGTTACTAAAGGCCTTGAAAGAACTGTAAGTTCATTTATTTCTTCCCGTTCTTCGTTGGGAAAAATCAGATACAATCATTTCAAATAGCACAATTATTAAGGCATGACTTGGAAATTTATTTTTAGTTCAGTTAGTGTATTAAATCTTCTGAGGAATCTTTTGATGAACTCCAATGTATATCTTGAAGTTCATGTTAATTTTTTATCATCTCACGTGTAAATTAATCTCTGAAAGTTAATATTTTGTTTACAGGCCAGGCACACGGTCATCCCTTATATGCCAATGTTAGTGCCTCCAGTGAAGTGGACTAGGTATGTTAACTAGGTGTTTCTGATTGGATTGCCATTTTCTCCTTTCCATTTTTATGTTATATCTTAAAAGTATGAATTTTGATCAATCATCTTTACTTGGTATATTATGTGACGTCTATTAATACTTAGACACTCAAGAGATGTTGGATGTGACAGATACTTTTAATGGATGGACTTGAAATTAGGACTATATAGTCCGCTGGCCAATAGGAGTTTTATTATGTTTTTCCTGATTATATTAGGTTACCAGTTCAACAATAAAAAATAATAATAATAATAATAAGTATGATGTTTCCTCTAGCTAATTTTTACCTATTAAAAATTCTAACATGACAGTTTCATGAAATGCATCAACAAAAGCATGAGCACAAAGTCAAATGAAAGGACTGCATATTCCTGCACATCTATTCTTAGCATGGATAGTTATAGGATTCTTTATTATCTTTCAGGTTTTGATACTTTGGTTTTATATGCATGACCTATTCCAAATACTTGATATTTGGACACCTGTCTGTTATGCTGCATTGACTATTTCAAATAAACTGGAACTCCCACTTTGAACACTTTGTATTGAATTGGACATCAGTTTTGCTAAATAAGTCAAATAAGTACAAATCTTTCTGCACATCTATTCTTAGCATGGATAGTTATAGGATTCTTTATTATCTTTCAGGTTTTGATACTTTGGTTTTATATGCATGACCTATTCCAAATACTTGATATTTGGACACCTGTCTGTTATGCTGCATTGACTATTTAAAATAAACTGGAACTCCCACTTTGAACACTTTGTATTGAATTGGACATCAGTTTTGCTAAATAAGTCAAATAAGTACAAATCTTATATATTTCCTTGCACGTGTCTTTTATATTGAGAGAGTGAATTTTCTGATGCGTGCACACCATCAGCTCCAACACTCACATCCCAATTCAAGTAAAGTAGATTTTCCAGTTTTTCTTGAGATATATACATCTGTTTTCTAGAGTAGATATTAATTGCCATAGGCTTAATTTTGATAACTTCTCTCTGTTGATGTCCCTGGATTTCGAAGTTTATCTCCTTCTGTGTTGTATTGGGAATGCAACTTTAGGGTTAAATTTATGTTGACTTCAAATAATGCATGAGATCTTTTTTTCCCTACAGCGTCTCTTATTTTATTTTATTACTAGTGGGTGTCTCTTCAAATCACTGCATATGTAAAGATGCGGGATCTGAGAGCAGATTGACTGTTTTTAAGTCCAGTAGGTGAATGTTACTTCTGGTGTGTGATCCTGATCAAATATCTTATTTTCTTCTGCAGTTATGATAGGGGTGCACACTTATATTTGCCTTCATATGTCATGCGCACACATGGAGCAAGACAACAACGTGAAGCAGTTAAGAGGGCCCCTAGGAAACAGTTAGAACCGGTCTTTGAGGTTTGGTACTCATTTTGTCATTTGGTTTTAGTTTACAAGTGGTCTTGTGGATACTGTGATATGTTAAATTTATATTTCCGTTTTCTTGTTCAGGCTTTGGATACACTTGGAAGCACCAAATGGAGAGTGAATAAGAGAGTACTTTGGATCATTGACCGAATATGGGCTAGTGGAGGTTGCCTTGGGGACTTGGTTGACCGGAATGATGTGTGTTAATCTGCATCTCTATTTTTTCCATTCAGAATTGTTTTCATTTGTTGACCTAGGTTAGGAGGGGTTTGAATGATTCATTTATCAATAACTGTTGCATATTTCTTGTTTCATGCAGATCCCTCTGCCAGAGCAGCCGGATACAGAAGATGAAGCAGTACTTAAGAAATGGAAGTGGAAAGTTAAATCTATCAAGAAAGAGAATAGAGAGAGGCATTCACAACGATGTGATATAGAGCTCAAACTTGCTGTTAGATCTATTGTCCTTTTTAAATTTTGTTAGTGCATTATGTTTGCAATAAGAGTTAAATGAAATCTTCTCGATTGTGAACAGGTTGCACGGAGAATGAAGGAGGAAGAAGGTTTCTTTTACCCACACAACCTTGATTTCCGTGGTAGGGCATACCCCATGCATCCACATTTAAACCATCTGGGTTCCGATATCTGTCGGGGAATCCTGGAGTTTGCAGAGGGACGTCCGCTTGGGAAATTAGGCTTGCACTGGCTTAAGATACACTTGGCAAATTTGTTTGCCAATGGTGTGGACAAATTATCTCACGAGGGTCGAATCTCTTTTATTGAGAACCACTTGGATGATATATTTGATTCTGCAGACAGGCCACTTGAAGGGAAGTGCTGGTGGTTGAATGCAGAAGATCCATTTCAGTGTTTGGCTGTATGCATTAATCTTTCTGAAGCCTTGAGAAGTCCATCTCCAGAGACAACAATTTCGCATATCCCTGTGCATCAGGTAGTGTTTTTATGTAACATGTTTTTTTCTTTAAACCTTCAATATACCTCACTGCCTGGTAGAATAAACAAATTGTCTTTAGTAGTGATATCCAGGGTGGTAAAGTATGTTAGAGAGAAAACTAGGGACATGCAATCTTTCCTATAGAAATTTTTTAGTTTTGAATGCTAATTGTATTAGTGTCAAACTTGGTGTTTGGAGTATCGAGCCTGATATACTGGAAAACCTGTGCATTTTTATATTGACTTGGAGCTTGTTTAGGTGGGCTTATTTTCTTTGTTATAAGCAAATAAGTATGGTGTGGCATACTTATTTCCCACACAAATGTGTATGGGACCCATTGTCAGTTGTTATATCCTCCTCCTCCTTTTTTTTTTTATGTCTTGCCCTTGTAAATTGTCTGCATAATGTTAAAATACCTGAAATGTTACTTTGTAGTGGCCTTTTACTTTCGGGCTGCTTAATACAATTGCCACAAAAAATTTGAAAGTTTTATGGCATTGATTTTTTGTTTGATTATTTTTATTTGGGTATCTCCAGAAAATTCTTTGATTATTGGAGTTGACAATATCAAATTATTTCCCTTTTTATTAATGATTAAATTTATTCTAATAAGTTGTGATTTTCTAGGATGGTTCCTGCAATGGTTTACAGCACTATGCTGCTCTTGGTAGAGATAAGGTGATTTCATTTATCTGTTTTCTTTGACTATCTTGGCATGCATTTCTCGTTTAAGATATTATGGTACAAAAACTGTTTTTGGCAATCAGCAGCCTGAATACTTGGTATTATTTAGAACGAAAAATTGAGATGCTTATTGGGTAAAAAAAAAATCTTGATCAACATGATATATACAGAGATTAATAAGAAAGTCAGTAAGATATTAGCATCCATTTTTCTTACTTGATGTCTTTCTGGTGCAACCAATCGCATTGCACGCATATTTCAAGTTCATGTTTTTACCTCTGCTGAGTGGTTTCTGTGTTCTTAGACAGCTGGAAGATCTGATACCTTGTTAAACTTTGTCAGTCCCCCATCCCAAATTTTCAATCTAACAGGCTCACTAGTTTTGTTGATTCAGTTGGGAGCAGCGACTGTTAACTTGGTTGCTGGAGAAAAACCTGGTGATGTTTACTCAGGAATAGCTGCCAGGTGATCTGCTTTTCCCTTGGTACCAGAAGTTTTTTTTTCAATAATTCATAACTATTTTTTCTGAACGAGGTGTAGGAGGTGAGATATATGTCATCAGGCAAGTTGATACTTTACTAAATTGTGAGAAAAATCAGAGATTAAGGATTGTTTTTAGTTTGCTTTGAATGCATGTTATGGAGCCTGGGCAGTAAGAAGAGAAAGTTGCATTGCTTCTGGCTGGCAGCATTTTTATATTCAGATGCATATTTGAAATCCAAATATTGAACTTGATGGTTTGAAAATGAAAAAAAAATAAAAAATAAAAAATAAAATTATATATATATTGCTGGCCTTAACTTTTTGTTTTGCCGACATGTGAAGTCCTCTTTAAAATACTGGAACAGTGACTCATTTTACCTCGACGAAGCATTATTCAACCATCTTTAACCAGCCATTGCTGATTTTTTGCTCTATGTAGCAGATTGCAGTGAAGTTGAGCAGTAACTAAGATAATTTTTCACCTCTCATAGAGTGGAGTAACTGTATAATACAAAAAGTACAGGACACAAATGACCTGTTTAATCCCCCCACCTCTTTTCAAATGAACTCACATGTACAAGAGAGATATTGGATAATTAGGTTGTTAAGTTTCTATTTTTTACATGGAAGAATTGCTTTCTGGATAAGCTTGAATGAGGTATTTGAGATATTAGTGTATTGAAAACAAATCTGATCTGACTACTCAAATCTAAACAATGTTAAACTGGAAGTCCTCAATCACATTATTTTCTCATCTGTGCAAAAGAACCTTTTTTATTGAACTATTTTTTAAACATGATACCTTCATGCAGAGTTCTCGAGATTATGAAGAGTGATGCACAGAAGGATCCTGCAGTATTTCCAGATGCTTTGCGAGCAAGAGCTTTAGTCAGTCAGGTTTTATGTCACCACTGCTCAAGTTTACAGTTATGCTTGCATCAAAAATGATATCATATTAAATTTCTTGGTGATTGTAACAGTCATAACATGGAGTTCTATCCACAAATTGATCCATTATGAACTCAAATATATTTCATCCAACAGTGTTGATGACTTCATATTTTTGCAAGATTCTGTATGATCTATTTGATATTTTACATTCTACAGCGTTTTTGACCCCCTAGGCACTTGTTATTTTACTGATCATTCGCTCTATATCCAAATAATGTTTAGGTAGACAGGAAGTTGGTGAAACAGACAGTGATGACATCTGTATATGGTGTCACTTATATTGGGGCTAGAGATCAGATAAAGAGAAGATTAAAGGAACGTGATGCCATTGCAGATGATACAGAGCTCTTTAGTGCTGCTTGTTATGCAGCAAAAGTAAGGCTCAACTTTAGCCCAATTACATTTTCTGTAAGTGAAAAGTATTGATATACATACATTTCTGAAAATAAAATATGTATGGAATACTCGGTGTTGAAGTTATTCTCACAACCACCATGTAACTTCTTTCTTGGCCAATTCTTAGTATTGAAATAGTTGTGATATTCTGGTGCAGCCCTACCAAATCCATGACAATTATAAGTTATTTTGCATTAACATTTACTAGGATTTAGCTTACATTCATTTCCCCAAGTCTAACTTGTCCTGCAAAACACATTTCTCATGCCCGCGAGTTTTTGGGTGTATGGGCTGGTAGCCTGGTTCTCACGTTACTAAATCAACTTAATGTGGTTAATATGATGACAATGGTGTGTATATACCCCTTCTCAATGGAATAATGTGCTATCAGGGTCTTTTTCTTGGGCCTCATTGTTCAATACTCATATCTGCTCCTGGATTATTTAGTTTGGAAATTATACTTCTTGATGACGTCTAATATTTGCCTATTGGTACTTGATAGACTACCTTAACTGCACTCGGGCAGATGTTTGAATCTGCACGCAGCATCATGAGCTGGCTTGGAGAATGTGCTAAGGTGTGTACTGGTAGTTTCCATGAATATGCAATATGCTTTACCTTGAGATGTTATTTAGGCGAAATTTTTTGCTAGAGATCTGATGAATATTCATATAATGGGGGGGCTTATGCATTGTGGCTCTGTTGGACTGAGGTGTGTACCGTGGAACTGCTTGGCAGATTTCACTAGATAATTGAAGTAGTAGTTGGTTTTTAGATTTTCCTCAAAACAAGACCATATGGGATGTGTTTTAATCTTTGTATGTTTCAAATTTGCAATTCAGTAGCGTTGCAACTAGTTGGATATTACATAATCATTACAAACCTTGGACAGATTATTGCATCTGAAAACCAGCCAGTTCAATGGACAACTCCCCTGGGACTCCCCGTTGTCCAGCCTTACCGGAAAGTAGGAAGGCATCTGGTGAGTGTAATTAAAATTAAGAAAATGTCATTTACTCGTTTTTATCATTTCAATTGAGTCAAAACCAATAATATTTTCATGGTCTTCATCTGATGTGCAGGTTAAGACTTCTCTTCAGATTTTGACGCTGAGGCGTGAAACAGAAAAGGTGGCTTGATAACCTTTCATTAAATATATGAACCTGTGAATGTAGCTACTATGTTGTTTGTCAAGATCATATATTCAACGCCTCGAAGGAAATCCTTTGTCTTGCACGAGTACAATGTATAGGTTTTACACGTTCGGAAATCAAGCTGATGAGAATACATGTTGCTTTACATTTTAGGGCAATTTAAAGTTACCTTGGTAACATTTGACCCAAGTAATTTCTAAAATTGCTCAAACATGTATGACAGTTGCTTAAAAGTAACTTTTAAGCTTAGCCAAACATGATCTCTTATATTATAGTATTAGTCACTGCAAACAAAACTGTTCTGCATCAAAGGCTGATTGTCCCTCTTGATTGTTTGACATTTCTATGCAACTTTCTGAGCTCAGACAAAAATGTCCTATTCCTTGTTTATTTTAGATAATGGTCAAGAGGCAAAGGACAGCTTTTCCGCCAAATTTTGTTCATTCCCTCGATGGTTCACATATGATGATGACTGCAGTTGCATGCAAAAAAGCAGGCTTGAATTTTGCAGGTTCGTCTGACATTCTGTTTGTTGATATCCTCCAATTTTGATATTTGACCACGAATTATCTTACATTCTACATTTAATTACAGGTGTTCATGATTCATATTGGACACATGCATGTGATGTGGATAAAATGAACAGGATATTGAGAGAGAAGTTCGTTGAGTTATACGAAGCACCCATTCTAGAGAATGTAAAGTGTCTAGACATCCTCCACTTTTGAATTGCCTTCTTTTTAACTGGAAAATGAGTATCACTAATCAATATTTGGAAGCATTTATCTAATCAGTCAACTCTAAATGGTAATTGTATCCATAAGGAATCCTAATCTGCACTGTTTGAGCGTGTTTGGCTTTCCTTAAAACGAAAGAGAGAATAAAAAGACAAATGCTGGCTTCTTTTGTAGTGTTTAAGCAAGGCCACAGATGCTCTCTAATCTACTTAGCAAATTACCTTCCAAACATATCAGAACATAATTAATATCAAAATAAGCCCAAAGTTCAAACCTTATGAAATTCTTGCAAATAAGATGTTCAATTTTGTATATCCCCTCCCGTCTCCATAACCTTTGTGACCAAAAGCTTATGCACATCATTATTTGCAGGTTAAATGTTCCAAGCAACAACATAATGATAAAATGATAAATAGCATTAACTAGTTCCCAATTTCCAGTGTAGAAGTAAAAAGTAAAATTTTACCATCCATGAAGTAGAAGCTTTATTTGACATCTAATCTTCTGTCTTCCTCATGAACAGTTGTTGGAGAGTTTTGAGCAGTCCTTCCCTTCGTTGTCTTTCCCTCCATTACCAGAAAGAGGGGACTTTGATCTGAAAGATGTTTTGGAGTCACCTTATTTCTTCAACTAAATGAACTCGAGGTTTTTGTTGCCTAGATGATATATCTCGACATCCATTTGCCTCGAGTAAATGAAATGGTGACAAATGGGCTTCATCCTCAGTGATAAAGGTTGTATGTACATAATACTGACCGGCCTTCCTGTTCATTCTTCATCTTTAAACCCCGGAGTTTTGTACAGTCATCAAAGAGGTTCTACATCAAAGGCAATGCGGAATCTTTTCTCATGCCTCGAACTATGAGATAGACAATACGGGGTCTATTTTGTTTGGAGGAAGTTCGGGGATACATGATACTTTTTTCTGTCGAGATTTCGAGCTTTGCTAGTAGGTGGGTGGATATTGTATGTGATGTTATTTAGCTGAACACGAGCTACAGTGCAATGCTTGCCAAAATCTTCTAGTTTAGTGGATTAACATTTATATATTTTTACCTGTACTAACAAATTTGAAGTCGAAATAGAAAATCGTAGAACGAAAAGTTCAAAATATATTATTTGTTGCTTGAGGTTATGTATTAAACTGTTTTCATATAATCCCTGGATCAAGGCTTAAGATTTGTAAATTTTACGCTCTATCTGCACTTGCAGATGGAGTTGAATGGATAAAATCATGAAAGGGAATTGAATTGCAACGTGAATATGGAACCATTTTGCATTCGTTGGTAATATTAAAATAAGATTAATGTTATTCATCACCATTGGTGTTAAGCAATGTAGCACTTGCATGATATTAAATAATAGATTCACTTAAATTTACTTAATTGAACTTATCAAATGTGGCTACCTAGATTAGCGATAGATAGCATTATTCTTAAAAGAATAAAGCTATTCGTACATCTTCCTTTACAACTTGATTGACAGATGAATGATGTAGTAATTTTATAATGGTTAGATTATATATGTGAGATGTTAAAAGATCCTAAATTGCATTGATTTATCCTAAAGATTTTATTTCAATTGAAATTTCCACAAATAAAAATAAAAAAGAGTTTGTATAAGATAAAGTATATACTTTGTCTTTCTTGTGCTAAAGGTAGCCACGCAATTGCCTTTACATAAGCAGTTGTATGTTATTAAAATAAAAATAAAAAAATCAAGTCGAGCTTCCATTTTTTGGCTGAGCTTTTGCTCGGCTCGGCCAAAAAAAATCCCGATTTAATTTTACTCGAGTTGAGTTGAACCTTGAATTTTGACTAGCGAGCCGGCTTGGCTCGGTTCGACTCGTTGACATCTCTAACTGAATCGACTCACCATGGTTTTGTTTAAAAAAAAAAAACAAATCAAACCAATTAATTGTATCAAGCCAACCCAAATCGATTTGGTTTGATTAGTTTGGTCTATTTAATCACATCATTGCATATATTTCCTCCACATAGTGGGAAATGCCAACCAAGTGGTAAGAGATGATGTACATATAGTATTATTCCTTTTCATATCATTCTTATTTTCATATTAAAACAAGTTGTCTTGAGGATTGTTTTTGTCCAAAATTTTCATTGAGATAGAATAAAAGACTTATTTATCCCTTATATTTTTAAATAAGGAAAAAGAAAAATAATTACAAAATTCAAGCTAAATATTTTCCAATATAAAAATATTAACATTATTTTTTAGAATAAAAATGTAATAATGAATGGACTTCAAGACTTTAATTTAGCCCTTGTTTGAGCCACATTATTGGAATGAAAATGTATTTTTGAATAATATAATGATGGAAAATGTGTGGTTAAAAAAAATAATGAAATGTTTTGAATTTGCATGTAATATTATTTTATTAAAAAATATGTTGTTGAAATTGAAAGGCGGTGATTCAACACCCTTCTGTTTACCCGGTAATGTTTGGCGTTTCCACCACTCCGTCAAGTATGCAAGACCTGAAAAATGAAGGCGGGGCTTTCTCCCCCGTTTTACCTCCGGCGTGAGAATTAGTTTTCAGACTTGGAAAGAATATATTTGAAAATCAGATGGCTAAAAACGAGAATGGGAGCCCAAAAAAAATCATCCCTTACCTGTGTCTCATCCGGGGGTATTTATAGATATTAGGCACTAGGTAACCGCTGGGCGGTTGTGGTGCCACGTGTCCCATGATGATATGCCCACTATATCCACGTTCTGAGTGATGAGTCCTTAACTTCCCGTCTGAAGATTGTACCTGTATCAGCGGCCATGTAACCTTATCGATTCGTTAAAGGTTTTATGGCTAAGTGTTTGGACAAGGGATATCATTCCCGTTGAGGATTTCGCCTAGTGGTAGAATGATTTCTTGGGATAGCGGTAGAGCGCCCTTTGGGGGTTGTGGTAGAGCGCTTCCTAGACGTAGTGGTAGAGCGCTCCCTAGGTGTAGTGGTAGAGCGCTCCCAGGGTGTAGTGGTAGAACGCCCTATGAGGGTCGATGGCCTTGCATCGGTGTGCTGTGATCTGCCTTGCTCGTCCTTGGGGGTGTCTCCTTCTACCAACCTATATCATTTTTTTTTTTTTTTTTAATAAAGAGAAAGGAATAGTTCGTATTAGCGAATCGAATTATATAAACACGATCGAGTGGCAATTCTACTGTACACATGGATCCTCACTAATGGCTTTAATATTGGAGGGAGATTTCCCTCCAATTCCCCCCCCCCCCCCAAATTTGAATTCTAGTGTTATAAAAAGGGGGGGGGGATAATTCTCATTTTAGAAAATCACTTTCATTTTCTCTCAACTTTCTAGACTTCCTCTCTTCTAAGGTAATTTCCTCTCTTTATTTACATCCAAGATCTTGCTTTAAATTTCTTCTCTTCATCATTTTTGTTTTCATGTATAAAACTATCCTTTCTTCTCCTTCCAATGAAAAAAGTGATGGGGGTGTAGTGATTTGACCGGACCTTCGTCGGAGGGTGCCGGCGGGAGTCCGACCGACCCACGGGGGGGTCGGTCACCGGCCAGCGGGGCTGGTTGCTCGACCAGCCCCGCTGGTCGACCAGTTGGTCGACGGGTGTCGACCAGCCCGAAGGCTGGCCGTCTCCTGCCATCCATTAATTCTCGTGGTTTGTCCGGTCCTTCGATCCGTCCTTGTATTGACTCGCCCCCTTCATCCGGCAAATCCCTTTATGATAGTGATAGTGAAACTCATTCAATTGACTCTCAGCCATTTGTTCCAAATCTCCCAAAGAGACACATTGGTTCTTCTAAATCTCCAGGCCAGAATTTGGAAATCGGGCGTGACCCGGCCGGTGAGGTTGTCCCCTTAGATATCCCAAAAAGTTATAGTCTCTACAATTCGCCACTCAAGTTAGAAAAATGTCTAGGAAAGTATGACCGGGTTGATGATTACGTCTATAGAGCCTCTGGTTCTAAAGAAAGGCTCCCCGGGTCCGACCCCCGTGAGATAGCCATGTACAAGGATGTTATGGACGGGGGTTTTCGGTTCCCCATTCATCCCTTTTTTGTATCGATTTTCAACGAATTCCACCTTACTCCTAGTCAAATTAATCCTAATGCATGGAGAAAAGCGTTATATTTTCTGTACGTCTATCTCAAAAAGGGAATTTCATCTTCCATGGATCTTTTCAGGTGTATCTTCGAAATGCATGAGCTAGTTCAATGTAATGCCTTTGTCTATTTTACCACTAGGGTACCTATGCAATTCCCTAAGTTTAGGAATTCGAATAGCGGATGGAAGTCCCGATTTTTCTTCGTCCGGCCTTCAAAGGGTCAGTTTTCTTTTAACACAAACTGGCGACACCCCCAAATTCGTCTCTTCAATAGCCAAGTAGAAGCTACTCCCTTTCTAGAAGCTCAAATCCAGGACTTGGTTGATGTTCCGCCCTTTGCACCTGACTTAGGGTCAGTCCTTACCATGAAGAACACGTTGAAAGTGGGGATGAGTCGTCCAATTGGTAGGTCGTTTATGTTGTTTTTCTTTTTCTTTTTCTTTTTTTTTTAGCATGCACACACGTTCATTTATTATTTTTTTTGCCTTTAGCTCGTCGAGACTAACGAGCTTGGATGTTTGTTTCAGGTATGGACTTTGATCTTAATGAGGTATTGAGGACTCTGCCAGGAGGAGATGAGGGTCTTACCCTCGTTGATGGTAAGCTTTCATATTCACCCCCACCCTCTCTTCCCCCCTCTTTCCTTTTTTTTTTTCGGGTACTCTACCTTGTGAGTTTAACTGATTTCAACTTACATGTGCAGGGGCCGAGCTTGATCTGGAAGGAGTCATGGACTCCATGCCTGACCAGGGGCAGGAGGGTGAGGTGGATCCTTTGCCTATCCCTTCAAAGAGAAGAAGGGGGGCCGACCTTGGGAGAAAGTCTCAGACGATCAACGAGACTTCTCAGCCTTTAGATGAGCCTCGTGATGTGGTTCCAGCTCCTAGGCCGGGAGCTCCTAGTCGTGCGCGATGTGAGCGCGAGGACTCGCTTCCTAGCTTTGGGTTTCCTCCCACCCGGGGCTATCATGAGATGGGGGTGCTTAAGTCGTTGGTGATCCCCGCTCGATCCAGAGCGATTGCAGGGCGCAGCGCAGATGACATAGAAAGGGCTGCGGCTGTTTACCTTCAGAGGGTATGTTTCTCATTTCGAGATTTTTTTTTTTTAGGTGGTGGCCCTCCAGACCGGACTCGCTGAGTCGAATCGCCGCCTAGCCTCAGAGCTGAAAACTCTTACTGAAGAAAAGAAAAAGGAGGCTCATCACCACAAGAAGAAAATATCCTCCTTGAGGAAATCTCTGGAGATGTCGGACGCTCGAGCTCGTGAGCAAGAGACGAAGATTGACAACCTACGCTCTGTTTTGGCTTGTGCTCCTGAAGAGGCGGTTGAGAGGTATAAGGCCTCAGGTGAGTACGCTGGAGATCT